ATCGTATCTGTCACTTTTGTATATTAAACTCTGATTAATGAAAGCATGTTGTTTCAATTAACTTCCATTTATGAGAAGGGTTTGTTGTATTTATTTTGGGGCATTACATTAATTCCATGAACTCAACTCCAAAACACATTATCTTAATGGACTGAGGGTTAAATTCTTACCTAGAGCCTTCAAATTCACCAATTCTTGCACTATTTTGACTAACTCTAGCTAAACCTTCAAATTCCCCTTCAAAATCCCACTTTCTCTCTCTAGAATGTGAGTTCTCTCTCTCACTCTCTCACTCTCTCTCTCTTCCTCAGATTTTCGCACTCAAAGTGATCAAGAATGAGCTCAAAAGGCTCACTTATATATGTCTAGGAATTGCATAATACATTAATTAGAACATTAGGCTAATTAAACACAACTTCATTAATTAATCTGAATCAATTTTTTAATCAAACTTACCATCTCTAATCAAACTTATTATATGGTTCTAAAAATTCCAATTAGTCTATTCATGTAGTCGATTTCAATCAACGAGATTAAATTCATTATATAAGGTATGACTATGAAAAGAGAAAGAAGCCAAGCTACAAGAAAAATTCCCACTACTACCATAGTAGCAGCATATATAAGAGCTGAAATAGGAGTAGGCCCTTCCATGGCATTAGGTAATCATACATAAAGAGGGAATTGTGCAGATTTAGCAACTACACCGGCAAATAATAGAACGGCACACAAAATAACAAATAAAACATTGACCTCATTAGTATAAATCAAGTTATTGAATATTTCAAATAAATCTCGAAATTCGAAACTACCTGTTATCCAATAAAAACCTAAAATTCCTAATAATAAACCAAAATCTCCTACTCGATTAGTTACAAACGCTTTTTGACAAGCATTTGCCGCAAGAGGCCGTGTAAACCAAAACCCTATTAATAGATACGAAGACATTCCAACCAATTCCCAAAAAATATAAATTTGTATCAAATTAGAACTAGTAACTAATCCCAACATGGAAGTACTGAAAAAACTCATATAAGCAAAAAATCTCAAATATCCTTGATCATGAGACATATAATTATCACTATAAATAAGAACCATAATTCCAACAGTAGTGATTAGTATTGACATAATAGAAGTAAGTGGATCAATCAAATAGCCGAATTCTAAAGAAAAATCATTATTAATGATCCAAGACCATACATATTGATGTATAGAACTACTATTTATTTGCTGAATAGACATATCGATCGACAAAATCATGGCTATACTTAACAATAAAACACTCTGAAAAGCCCACATACGACGAAGTTTTTTTGTTGCCCTTGGAAAAAGAAGAAGTCCCGCTCCTATTAACACAGGAACTGGAAGTGGAGCAAAAGGTATGATCCACGCATATTGATATGTATGTTCCATAAAAAAAAATTATATTCTTAATTGTTTTCGATTCACCAAATCTTATCTCTTTCGAAAGGGTTAATAAAAAAAAGAAAGATATGCACTAACTTAAACTAACTAAAATAGAATTTTACAATTTTTGATTCTTACTTATTCTGAGGCTTTCCTAAATACTTCAAATATTCAAATCACGAAGTCACAATTGGTCAAATAATATGACTAAATTACTAGTAAAAAGTGAATACTTAGTTATTAACTAATATATTTATGAAGATGCCCAAAATAATAATTGAAATTTTTATTACAACAATTTATATCTATAGAGCAAGGATAAAGAAAAACACTAAAACAAAATACTTATATAGGAAGTACTATAATATCCGTCACTTTATAGAAATTTAAGTTAATTTTCTATTTTTTTTTTTTTTAAATAAAAAAAAATTACATTACTAAAATTTCGTTTATCAAGCTATGTATGCTTTAGTTACTAGTTTCATTCGAATTTGAAAAGTCCAATTAGGCGTATTCTTTCCTCGATTTTGACCAATTACTAGAAAAAAATTACATATCATATCCCTTTTTTTTGAAGAGAATGCTATCTAAAAAACAAATAGATAATGAATAGTAAAGAATGATTCCTTTTGAACAATAGATGTCTTTCACATCCAACTAGAATAATGAGTAACCTCTTGATTTTTAAATGGCAGTTCCAAAAAAACGTACTTCTATATCAAAAAAGCGTATTCGTAAAAAAATTTGGAAAAAGAAAGGATATTGGGCAGCTTTAAAAGCTTTTTCGTTAGGGAAATCTCTTTCAACCGGAAATTCAAAAAGTTTTTTTGTGCGACAAACAAATAAGTAATCCAAAGTTGTAATAATCTGAATCGACTTGACTAAAAAGGTTGGCTAATTTTATTTATAATATAAAATAAAATATTCCCATTACCTACTGTTTTGGACTAATCAATATGATTTGAAATTCTTTTCACTCTTATGATTTGTAGAATAAGTATTTTTCTTTTTACTAAATTCTAAAAAAAATACTTTTCTTTGAAAAAAAAAAAATAAACACAAGATACAAAGGTTTACCTTTCTTTTTAGTCTATTTTTTTTATTTCTAGTTCTGGGGTAAGAATTCCTATTTTCCTCATCGACCTACTAATAAAAGAATAATAAAAGTTTATTCTTTTTTCTCTATTTATATATCTATAAAAGAGCAGATATAAGATTTTTAGTCAAAATTAATGAATCGTTGAAACTATAAGTTTAAAACTTTTTTGTAATCTCATTTTCTGAATTATTATTTCGATGAATTACTATAGATATGAATTAATATATATACTCCTATATATTTGCCGCTTTCAACCCAATCTATAAAAGTTTTTAATTGGGATATTAACTATGAAAAATGTGTCAAATTTAAGTGATTCAAAATAGATTCTATTTTGTGTTCATTGATAAAATCCATTTTTTGTTTCAGATTTATAAAATTAGATAAATGAGAAATGAATCCTTAAAAAATGAAAATGAGAAAAAGCGCTTTTTTTGAGTTCTATCCCCTATCCAGGGATAGAACTATCCAGTTACAACAGTTCAATTCCAGAAGAGTATAAATTACACAAACATCAAATTTGCTATTAAAGTAATATTTTTAGTCTCTCACATGAATTGGATATCGAAATTTCATATTCTTTTTTTAAACCTATTTAATTTCTAGATATTTTTACATAATTTGCAACATCTCATCCGAGAATATTATGTAATATGTAATATATATGTGTATATGACTCGTCCCTTTACCCATATTCAATTTCGGATTTGTATTTCAAGTTCCTAAGATTTAAATTTAAATTTATGAAAGTCTGACAATTGGATACACACCCACACACCCAATACTCCTACTTGAGTCCATATAACATAGGTATATGCACAATGGCTTGCGAAGTTTGATGAATAATTTTTCCACTTGCTTTATTGCTTTCCTAAATTGCTGACCCTGTGTGGGCTGTGATGAGTTCTAATTGTTTTTAGGATTCAAATGGCATTTATTATCATTTTGTTGTTTAATGACAAGATGTATATACTTTGCTTGGATTTTTCTGTTAAGTTTACTTCTAGTCAAATTTTAAGTGATTTCTATTTATAGAATTATCACACAGGGCCACTAGTTATTCCTCTTTATGATGTTGAATCCGTAATCTATTAGTTCTCTGACCCAATTTTGTGAACTGAGACTCAAGCAATCTAAATTTTCACACATTTCAACAAATGCCAGAGGGTTGTTCGTTTGAAATGATTCCTACTTCATAAAAGCAGTAATTTGTTTTGTCTCCATCCCTGCAGTAATTGCATCTCATGAGCAGGACGGCACTTTTTATTCGAAACTAATTAAAAAATATATGCAACTATAATTTATACTTGGTAGGTACTTTATGCATATTTTTCCGCTCTGCCTTTGGCAGATTTGTGCTGTGTTTGGCCCTCGTTACTCATAACTAATGCTCAATTGTTAAGACTGTTTAAACGAGTGTGTATTATTAATTATTATTATTATTATTTTTATAGCATTGATAGGTTTTTTAGCCATATTGGACATAATAATCACTGTTTGTAGGCTTCATTCATGCATTTATCTACATGATTCTTCTGTGTCCCTATTCTTGTGTGGCATTATGTCTTATATTGCCATGATTCTTGAAGAATTATGTAACCTCTCACGCATTTGAATTCATGCATTTATCTACACATTCTTGGTTTGTATGCTATGTTTCTTGATTTGGATGATACTTTTCCTGAAATTGACATTGAGATCAGCAATCACATGAGACAGGCATTTATGTTACAAACATCCAATTTCTTCATTCAAGCACCCATATATAGAGAGACATTTGGTCAGTGGAATCTCATGGAGCTAAATGACCTGGCAAGAAGTCCAGAATGACATCAGTTAGATTAGTGAGATGCGGTTTGCTATTATATTATTTAACTGAATAAACTACTAAAATGGTGGAATAGTAGAAACTTTTGTTGACTCCACATGCTGTGCATGGCATGGCATTAGCAATAGATTTTAAGAAGTCATGTTTTATTTTAGCAATTCGAGAAGAATCCTTGAATGGAAACGTGGCACCAAAATAACAAAGAGTATGCTTAATTTGACATGCTCAAGTTATGGTAGTTTAGTAATACTGATTTTGGTAATTTTAAACTAAATCTTATCAACCCAACTGGAGGCTTGAAGCACCATTTATACACCATGAGAAGCACGAAGACGTGACAGAGACACACTAACACAACAATTTTCAAAAAATACAAGACAACACACATGGGAGCACACACAATTTTTAAATTTATGTATGTATTATGTCATATTATATATATATATATATCAATAATAAAAAAAAATTTACACTATAACACTCATTTTTAATGTTTAAAGCTAATAAGTATAAATCTACATTATTTTACTTTTTATCATTGGATCCTAGGTTATTTTGTGCAAACTTGTAATTTGTTTCATGTTTCCTGAAGTTGATGGACACGTGTCTTCCAACTGTCCTAAGCATGTTTAGGTGTTTAACACGTTGGGAAGCGATCACACCATATTCTTAGAAGTTTCGGTATTTTTTAGTAGATTGACACATATAGACCATGTTTTTCTAGTTTCAACATAGGCTAGTGCCTTGGCAGTTGGCTGGTAGACTGTCTGAATGCACTGGCACTTGTATATTACTAAACAGGACCTCTTTTGATGCTCGTATCTAGAGTGACTACAGAAGGATCATAGGTCTATGGTTCACAAAGAATGTTACCCAATGATTTAATTCTTGTTCTAATTTTAACAAATTATGGAAAGGTAATTCAATGCTGTCTAGAATACTTAGTAATTCCTTCTACATGCCATACTATATGCAAGACATGCATGAAACAAGAGGAGGATCTCCCCATAAAATTCATGAACTTTTCCCCCAAATTTTTAAATCTGTATTAGAGCACAAAAGGTGACAGTCCTTGGAGTGCTTGAGCAAAGTATGATTCAGTCACACTTGAAGTCTAAAAAGAAACAATTATGAAAAATATTGGAGTGGAGCTACTGGAATATATGCGTACTGCTGCTAGTGTTGGGTGTATTGCTGAAAACGCTCTAGTAGATTGCCATAGATTGCCATTATGATTCTGGTCAGAATATTGATGACTCTAATTGTGAATGTTTTTATGTTATTGGTGGCATATGTAATTAATGGAATTAGTAATTCTAATGAAAATATGGTTACTTCATAACTTCTTCAGGCTTCATATTACGTCAGGCGTCCTGCTATACATGATATTGTTATTTTTCGAGCTCCTGCACAGGTTTGTTGCTTCAGAAGATAATTTGACTACATGTTTGCTGAATTTATTTTGGTACTTTTGGAATCTTTTGCTGAAATTTTGTTTTCTCCCTGACTATTCTACAGCAACCTGAGTTCATGGAGGAAGAGATTTTCATTAAAAGAATAGTAGCGAGAGCAGGAGACTCAGTTGAGGTATAACCCTCACAACCTGCACTGGATAATGGGCATGCAATTAAATGGCATGACATGATAACACGAATATTAAACGGGTTAGGTTAGTGTTGAACTTTTATAACATAAAGTTGACGCGGATACCCGTTCAATAAAGAATTAGTTAACACATTTTAAAGTTATTTCCACTAAGGGATTCAATGACATTTTTGAATCTATTATATAACTCAATCCAATTGATTAAAAGAATTATGTCTGTTATTTTAAAGTTGATAAGAAAATATAATAGTAGGCTTTCGTTTTTATGAGGGGGATTTGGTCAAAACCCCCTCATAATAAAACTTTAATGCATTAAGGACAAGCACAAAAAGTTTTCTTCTAAAAGTTCAAGACATACCATTATTATCAAAATATTAAACTTTAAAATAATATTAAAGTATTTGTAATAAAATACTTTAAACTTTTCCTTTGATGTAAATGTCGGTTTTTAATAAAATTAGTATTTTTAGAATTCTTTCATCAAGATCTATTAAATAAGATCCATATTGACTATGCAATTTTTTAAAATAAGTAAATAAATAAATTTATTACCATTGAAATTGATATAAACAGTAACAGTAACATGTTATTCTGTTTGACAGTAAAATATTATTTTGGTTCACAGTAACATATTATTTTGATAACATTGTACAAGGAAGAGAGAGAGAGAGAGAGAGAGATTTGCTCAATTATGTGTTTTCTTCTTAAGGGGTAATGGAGGGGTTTTAGCTAAATTTTCCTTTTTATTTTTATAAATTAGGGCGATGGAATTGAGTTGAAATCAAATATTTTTTTATGAATAATTTCATCTTGTAGAGATTAATTTAATTAAATTTAACTTGCGAAAAAAAAAAAAAAAATCCATACACTTGGTATAATTAATTAAGGGGGAGATTTTTTGACATGACACGAACCGGACATGGATTGAAAATGGCATGACACCATAACATGAAATAATAAACGGGTTGGGTTAGTGTTGAGTTAATTGCAACACAAACCTGAAATGACATGACATTAATACGACCAACACAGCACGATGCCCGCCCTACTTTTGCTTAACAAAAAGGAAAATGTTGCTTCTTTGAGAATTTATTGGAAATTACTATTTTAATTTGGCTGTGCGATGTAATCAGTCTGATCCGATTACTATTTTACATAATGGTTGGGTTTGGATTGTTAATTGAACTTGGTAATGATATAGTTAATTTTGACAAACAAGAAGTTTGTTGCGGGTCTCTGCCTCATTGCTGGCCTTTGGGTTTATTAAGTCATCTTGACTAATGACTAGCTGGACATGTGTTAGTGGCTTGCACTGCAGGCTTGGTTCACAGAAAAAATTATGCTTATTATTGTTCATTTAATACTTATTATTGTCTAACTGGTTGAATGGAAGTAATATTGGAGAGGTTCTGTTGTTGGGTTCTTCTCATGAAATGTTTTCATCCAATAACTTTCAGGTTCATCACGGGTCACTTTACGTCAATGGGATTGCTCAGAATGAAGATTTTATAGCAGAACGACCAACATACCCATTGAATCTAATCGTGCGCCTAGTTTTGTTATCTTATTTATTGCATACTTATCCGACATCTTTTCTGGCCAGCATAACATGTTCTTGAACACAATTATGGGGTAAAACTGCTGGGGTCTACAATAATATAATACTTGCACGTGTTTGGCCCACTTATGAAAGGAAGTTTGGCCACACAAGAGGGGGCATGTTGGAGAATATAAATAATAGAGTTGCCTCTCTTCTTAACAGGTTAAACTTTAGATGAGTTCGTGGTTAATCATTTAACATTGTATCAAAGCATGTAATAGGTCATGTGTTCAAACCTTACCACTTACTTGATAATTATGATACTTACACGTGTTTGGCCTGTTTGTGAGGGAGAGTTTGGCCACATGTGAGGGGTAGTGTTGGAGAGATAAAAAATCAAAGTTCCCCATCTCTCTATTAGTTTGAGCTTTTAAACGAGTTGGTGGTTAACAATTTAACAATCGGCACCTTGTCACTAAATAATGGACTGCATTCTCTGACAACTTAGATCTTACATTGTGTGCTTAGTGTGGTCCTGTTTTTGTTCTCTACTGCATTCACCTTTCTTTTTTAATCTGCAGACTGTGCCTAGGGGTCATGTTTATGTTTTGGGTGACAACCGTAATAACAGCAATGATTCGCATAGTTGGTTAGTATTTTGAGCCTCACTGTTTGAGCATTTTTTATGCTTCACCTTCTTTATTTATTTTTGTGATTGACTTCCTTTATTTTTGGTGCTCTTATTTTGAGATTGCATTTCCACAACTGATAGAATGCTCGTTTTGAGAGCAATATTTGAACCTCTAAAATTCCTTAGCTGCAATTTAAAGAATGATATTTTTTTGGATACCCGATGGTCATTTTTTCCTTTCTTATTTAGAATTTTAAAGCCAACAACTTTATTTTATTTAATTTTTTTTTTCTCTTCCTGGTTTGTAAACAGGGGACCGCTTCCTGTAAAAAACATTGTTGGAAGGTTTGTCATGCGTTGTCACAAGCCTTCAGGCACCAGTCCACATGAGGACAAAAGATGAACATGAGGTACTGGTACTTTCTCTTATGATTTTTTTTATTTTTTTACTTGATAGATGTGCTAAAAACTTAGAAGGCCAACATGGTTTACATGCATGAATTTCAACATCTATGTTGTTGGTCTGATCTATGACTTCATCCTACCTGTTGGCTTATGATTGGATTTTATTTTCTTTTTTGGTCTATATAAAAATGATCTACTGTAATTTGCCTGATGAAGAATGGGTTAAAAATTGAATTGTGGGTTCTTTACCGTGTACGACATTGTTGCCTGTGTTTATTCCTTTCTATTAACCTCTTGGTAATTTGGGTTGTGCATTACTTTTCCTACTATGCTTTGTAAGTTGAGCTAATAAAGTTTTCAAACTTCTTATAAACGTGATGGACAGATTGAAGGGGATCCTTGGCTTAATTTCAACCATGACGGGATTGGGTGACATTTATATATTATGTGAGTACTTGCACCATGTTTGGTCAGAGTAGGGTAAAACATGTGATAAAACAAAGAAGATTGTTTCTGGCCATAAAATAGAGGGGAGAGATAGTGCAAGATAATGAATACCAATGGGGGTTGACATTTGTTATCCCTTTTTTGGGGATATGGCGTCCGGTCGGAGACAATAGCGTGCCCTTAAAATGCAACCAGTCATTGAGGGACATTGGGGTGTCCACAAAAAAAAAAAAAAAATACAAGTGGAATCCACAAGATTTGAAATCCTTATATCAGTCCATATTCGGTGAACAAATTGGGCCTATGTATTGCACACACCAATTTGCCATTGAAATAATAATTGGATATTGGTGTAGGACAGATCCCAATTAAGGCAGCACTACGGTCAAAAGTAGTGCATTACCCAATTGGGACCATAAGAAAAAAGGTAAATTACAAATACACTTCCTGAGGTTTACTTAAAATACGATTGTCCCTTGTGATTTGGAAAATTATAAATATTCCATTGTCAGAATTTTTTATTTAACAGAATTAATTGAAAAAATAAAATTTCTAACTGCTCTCTTATACAATAATAAAATTAGCTAAATTATTAATTGGAATATATTTATGAAATCATTAAAAACTGTTCATTGACTTGATGATTTATTGATAAATGAGCTATTTGTTATGAAATTAGAAACTTCAAAGGAGGCAGGATGTAATTTCTAGAATCACAAGAGTCAATTCATATTTTAAACAAATTTCAAGGGGTATATTTGTCATTTACTTGAAAAAGAAAAAAGAAAGAATGGGTAAATTACATTTACCTCCCTTGAGATTAGTATAATTGTAGATATCTCCCTCCAGGTTTCAAAAATATCGACCTTCCTTACTTTTGAATCTATTATATACATTCTCCCTTCTATTAACTTAGCTGCAAATGGTGTTAGAAATGATGATAAAATAACTAAAATACTCTTATATATTAATCCAACCCACCCCTCTCACCGGCTGCCGTCTCTCTTTCTTCCTCCTACTACAAAGCCAACCATCATACAACCCCACCACCACATCTTATTATCTTTTACCACCACCCCCATGAATCCTCATGCCCTTGTTATAGATAGAAAGAGAAAATCGATAAATACCCAAATCATCAATTGGGACAAAGAACTCCCACACAGTTGTCCTAACTGCAAATGAATGTAAATTCAAAATTCCCAATTCGTACAAATTCCCAAATTCAAAATTAAAATCCCCAATTCGCACAGAGCTTGCCCAAAATCAAAATTTCTAATTTACCTCTCACACAGCCCTTCAATCCTGGTAACGATTTATGGCTAGTTTGAGATGTGAATCTCAACCTTTACTTTTCTTTATCAATGGTGGAAAGGGTGTCTAAGGTTTTTCTTCATCAAGGGTGGGAAGGGTGTCTAAGGCTGCTGAGAGCCATTAACGATAGGCATGATGGACCAAAAAGCTGGTCATGGGTACTTACAAAAGCAAATATTTTTTTTATAGTATGAAAGGGTTTGGTCTTTGCAATGATGAATTTTGCTTCTGCGTCTTCATTTGGGATTGCTTTGTTGGGTTTCTTTTTCTCTTGACTGTTGAGAGGTTTGTAGGGTTGGAAATTGGAGTTTGGGAAATTGGGAAGTAAATTGACTAAATAACTGTAATGGTGTTGTTGGGTAAGGGATGATTTGGGCTTTTCCTTCATTATTTGGTCTTTAATCATTTATTTTTTTATTCATTTAGAAAGTAGCTAACAGAAACAAATAAATAAAGAAGACAAATGAGGGCAATCTTGGCATTTAATGATTTGAAATATGTGACATCATCATATTCTGTCATAAATGCTAACAAACATCTAACAGTGGATTAATTTGTATAGTAATTCAAAAGTAAGGAAAGTCAATGTTATTTTTGAAACCTGAGGTGAGGCATCTGCAATTATGCTAAATCTCAGGGGAAGTAAATGTAATTTACCCAAAGTATTGATTAACTAAACAAATAATTTTATCCTCAATAGTGGGCCAAATTTTTGACGATATTTTCTGATTAGTCGGAGTGAAGTTAAAAGATAAAAACTTCATACACAACAAATAAAAAGAAAAAGATTTAGCCTAGCCCCTAAATATAAGCTATGATTTGGATTGCATAAAACATTAAATGGTTATTACAACACAAAAATAGATGTCTCGGGGATCAAATCATAGTAGTAAAAAAAAAATATATATATATATATATATTTATTGCCTCAAGAATAAATAACTCTAAAATGTAAACGGGTTCAAATTATTCAAAAAGGACCCCGAATATAAGCCCATAAGACCGCATAACAGTGCCTGTTGTGTACACCCAACTCCTGTTTGGTAATGGACTTTTTTAATCTTTTACGAAAATATGTACAAAAATAAAAAGAAAATGAAACATTGATTTTTTATATAGTTGTTGGCTTTTAATTTTTTAATATTTTTTAATTTTAAAATAAAATAATATTAACCCAAATGAGATCTTAATTTTTAACTAAAATTTTTAAACTAAAAATAATATTACCAAATGAGATCTTAATTTTTTAACTAAAATTAAGAAAATTATCAAACGGACTTAGGCCTCGTTTGTGGAACAGGTTAATTAGTAACTTTTGGACTATGGCTAAAAAAGTAGGTAAAAAAAATTTATATGTTTGGGATGACTTTTGACAATTACGGAAAAGATGTGCAAAAAAGTAAAAAGAAAAGAGAATTTTGACTTTTTAACTAAAAAGATAACTTGTAACTTTTTTAACTAAAAAAATAAGTCCTCAGGCCTTATGGAGGGGTTTGGAAGAGTGAGCGTTTTAGTCACAATAGTGCGCTCCTCACAGCCGCCCTCAAGGGCCGTGGATTGCAGTCCCATCTCCCCCCCCCCTACCCATGTGCACTACTTATGGATGAGCTGTGACACACTCACTCTCCAATTACCAAACTGTTGTGAAATGGTGAAGGGACATCACTTATTATTTTGTGTTGGGATAGGGTAAGATAATAGGGAAAACTTGGCGGAATTTGGCATTTTGGTGATTTTGAGATTTAGGGAATAGAAATTTCTCCCATATGAATTAGCAACATCATATCATATTTATTATAAATTTATATAAGTAATTTACTAAAATGTAATAAATTAAATATAAGAATTTATATAAATTTTAAGTTTTACAACTATCTGTAATTTATATCAATTATATAATTTGTTGATAGGATTGCACACCAATAACATTTTTTATAAGAAATATGGTGGAATAATAGGGACATTTAGGTGAATTGGCATTTGGTGATTGGTGTAAGAAATA